ATTCTCTTTTCAAACGTTTTTACTTTCTTACTAGTCCTTTCCTAAAGTTCAAAGAAAACTACGGCTCTCTACTGTAACATTCTTTCGTTCAATTTACTAGAATCATCGGAGCTCACTGTTTTGCCCAGGCAGGCTGATTCGCAAGGCCGACGCCTAATAAGGAATGTGATAAAGGTGATCATTGGAAAAGAAGAGGGTAAGAGTCGCATTCAGAATAATCCGAGATCTCTTTCAGAATAAAGGCGCTGTCGACACGTTCAATTAGGAAAATGTTGCCATCTCCTTTAGTCAATATATCTAATTTGTGCGTAGTCATAGAAAACTGCTGAAGAGCTGTGGTCGAGTTTTTAGGGGCAAAACGGTGTGGCCAGCTGCAGCGGACGGCGAATGGCTGCAAATCGTGGAGTAAATGGAGCTGCAGCGGCCCCTTATTAGATTGGACAAAGCATTAGTCCAGGAATTAAAAATCCTCTGCATTCATGGCGAAAACTTCAGGAATCATAAGATTTCGGGTAACAATCATGAAACTTCAATAGATAGATACTATAGTGAAAGAAGTGGGTAAGCTAGGCTTTGATAAATAAGATAGTCATTTTGGGTCGATCGCTTTCCGAAGTCCCCAGTCCTCATGCTCACGCCTCCCTCATCCCTCCTCCCTCTTTCTCGCCTAGAGTATGAGCGTCAAAGGAGGATCGAGACAGGGTGAGGAACGGACGAACGAGTGAATAGAAGAGGGAGAGGCGAAACTGTTGACGCTGCAGCAGCTTTTGTTTAACGAGCAACGAATAGGAAATGAATGTGTGAGGAAAGAATGAATTCTCTCTATCCTAGGGCAATTCGATGAGGAAACGTGGGAAAACGAAGTCATTACAATCCTTTCTGAGAGAAATGGAGAGGAATAACAGTGGGAAGCTCTGATAGATAGCAAATTCCTGGCGGGGCAACAAAAACCATTTCTGCTGCCTTACCAAGGAGCCCTTTCTTCATTGGGATATCTCCGACGGCTTCTGTAGCTCCTGCTGTGATATCAAATTGAGGCGTTTCAAAGGCGTTGCTCTGAGCGTTGTTTTCAGCGCTTTTTCTGGCACATGATCAACATCTCCATTCTCGCGTAATCCTCGAACGCTTTCAGAGTCGTTGAGTTAAGCTGAGGGTACGAAAGCTGATTGAGATGCATACGTTATTGAAAACATCGACTAGTCCCATAATAAGATATTCATTCGATACTATCACAACGAAAGGAAAAAAATTCACGGCGTATACCACTGGATAGGAAATCTAATTCTTTCCCGTCGTGTCCTTTGCTGTTCATTCAGAACTAAACATCGTTGCAATCCGAAGAATCGAAAGAAAGAAGAATGAAAGGAAGGTCTGAAGAAAATATTCAACAAAAACTGTTATAAGATCCCCTAAGCGTTTAAACGGCGAATCTGGAGTGGACGGGTCCGGCTACACGCGGACCGAACTCCAGATCGAATCGCATCCACCTCAAGCAGTTCTCCATCGCAGTGACAGGTTATTTACATAACTGTAACTGTCTACTACATAACATAACGCCACATACAGGGGTGGCCAAAAAAGGAGACACTTGACTTCACATTTCAGACAGCATTAATCACACTTTCCTGAACTCAAACCGACTGCTTCCAACTCAGTATTAAAGAGCACATCTACCCAATCTATCAATAAACGTTATAATAGCTTTCTGCACCAAGGACATCACAAGAATTTGCCATGGGAACCTTGTGCACGGTTCGAGCTCAACTGGTCCTTCGGCGGATCATGGACCTTTACGACGTTATCTGAAACGCTGGTCGGAAGGGGTCTTGCATATTTAGAGCTACTGTCCCTAGGAAGCAATCCGTCAGTTAACCGATTAAAGAAATTTCGTAGCAGCTTCAGGCTGGAACGATTACTTTAGGCCTTCTTGAGCTCAACGGTGATGGAAGATGACGTCATATTTTGAGGACGGTGAGGGCAGTGGAGGAGGGCCTGCTTCTACTTATGGAGGACATCTAAGGGATATTTTGCCGTAAAACTTTCATCAACAGCGGCACCTGCGCGATAAAAAAATTGATGTGCACCACGGCGAAGTGTCTCTTTTTTTGGCCATCCCTGTATACACGAGCTGTACACATACACGGATTTGTTCGAGAAAGTTGAACATTGACATAGTCGTTAGCTAGCTTACGCACGTAAGGGCTAACGTGTACCAGCCAAAACACGATCAGAAGCTTCTACAACACCAAAGGTGAACTTGATGTGTGCAAAATCGGTGCAAGCATAGAATGGCAGGTACTCTTGCAAACGCTCATGCTCAGTGGTTTTCTCCAGTTCACAAGTTCCAGGCGATGTCCACGATTTCGCCTTCGAGGCACGGGTGATCGTCTGTAGCGCGTTGGAGCCATGGCAAGCACTACCATATGATGGAGGGACAATGGAAGCATTACGGACAGATTGCAATGGTATTCAGCATTTGTTTAAAGGTGTTATGTCGTAAGGGGAGGACATTCGAAGAAGGGAGCCGCAACAGTACTTGGAGCTAAGCCTTGAAGAGGAAAAAGAAGAGGATGGTGCGAGCAATCGTTGTTTTACCTGGCGTTTCTGCCCTGTCCTGGGACACGTCCTAGCGTTATCTACCATGGCGTTTTAACTGCCCTTTTCTGAATGTCCCCCCCCCCATCTCCCCCACAGACCATGAGACCCGTTTAAATCATGAAATTAGTTTGAAGTTGAAGGCGCGTGCGCTGTGTTGCTAATGGACTGTTGCACTCAAATATACTGACTCTAAAAATGATCTTCTTTCGGTGGCTAAAGAAGGAAGTGACGTGGAAACTAAAATTTCAGAGGGAGCAGAAAATAAAAAAAACAAATGTAATCGCCTATTCCATTCATTCAACCCAAAGTTGAATGGCTTCAATACGCTAATGTGTATGGTAGTGGACCTAGTCTGATGAAGGGCTAATTGTAAGTGGTGCAGAATCCTCTAAAAGCTAATCTTGCACGACTTTTTTAGAAAGGTTATAATCAATCGATCTTAAAGGCAGCGGTTACGCTAGGTTTAAATGGGGTTTAGAGGGGACGAGGGGGTCCTCAATGGTACGTCAGTGGCGAAAGAAGCAGCGAAATCGGTCCAGGAAACGAGAAATGGGACCCCCTTTTGGGCCGTTTATTGCGGCTCTCAGATGGACTGCGGCGAAGACCGCGCACGCGTGGACGAGATTGCGCAACGCGTGCTGGGCAGCAAACAGCAGGCATGGCGCCCTAACCGCGCTGCGGCTGGCAACACGGCTCGCCCAAGCCACCGATGAATCATGGGGCGGGGCGGCGCATGGGGCGGAAGGGCGCAATGGTCCTGCTCAGCAACCACAGCACTGTTCGCAGTGCAAGCGCCACACATCGCTTCCTTGGCGGCCTGCTAATTGCTCTGTGGGGAGCAGGTTCTCCGCAGATGTGAAAATTCCTTTCCGTACCTACTTCCTTTAAAGTAGGCCTAGTGAATGCCACTGCACTGCACACACTCTTCGTGCATTTAGATTTACCACGGTTACGAAAGTAGGGGTAACCGTGGGTTGCACAGTTGTCTAAGAAGCACAAGAAGCAGTCTTATTGGAATTTTTCAACGACGTCGTCAGCGCCAGCCCGCCCTCCAACGAAGGTGAACACTACCTTTGAAAGCCGCATGGTCCCTATAGGCAGGAAGGCTGCGCTCACGTAGTGCAGGTTACTCCAACAACTTTGGGCATGTTCTTCAAACCAATTTTCCCTGTGGAGCTCGTCATTTTTATACAACAGATTAGATTCATCGAAACTTCACCTACTGATGACCTTTAACTTCACGACTTTATAATTAAAGATGCGCTTTATCGCAGAAGTGCAAGCTATTCTCAGACACACATTACTTCATTCAAACTTTTGGCTTCTAACTACCATTTGTACAACCTTACACACAAAATTGACCTTTCCAGCTCCCGCTAAAATCATCTATGAAGGCTTTTTGAAGTACACCCAACATTCAGCAACCATAAAGTACTAGATATTCGATTTCCTAGATTTCTGGGCAGCAGCAGCTTCCTCTGTACCTAGAACCTGTATTCCTGCTAAAATTAATGCTAAAACATGAGCACCCACCTAGTGAAGGTTTTTACACTACAAAAACCGCAGAGGCGAAGAGGTGGTGTGGTGACAAATGGCGCCTTCCCACATTCTCTGGTCCAATGTCGCGTCAAATTTGGCTCAAGCCAACCATCCATACAGTTGGTATCAGACTTGTCCCAGCCGATATACAAGTCGATGTTTTCGTCCCTCGATCACTCAGAGACTTTGAGCTCATGAAGATATTTTTCATATGTATTATAATTTAGCTATGTATGATTGAGCCATGTAAATGAGAGCTTCATAAAAATGTGAGGGAAACTATCCCAACTTTTGACTTTACTACAAGCTTTTTGCTTGACTATTGATTGGATTTTGATAAGTTCTTGGAAAATCAACAACAATAAGTCGTATCACTGGTCAATTCTCGGTGAGGAGCTTCCTTGGGGGTGATTATCTTGCTTTAAATGTTAAGATAAATAGTCCTTGAGTCCGGCGCCGCAATTTTCGAAAACAAAGTCCTTGCATAAAACATCTGGTGTGTCCCTAAAATACGACTGAAGTAAAGGGCATGGTGATCAGAGTGTTAATTATACTCCTAAAAATGGTTTGCGTGGGAGCGCGCTGTCGCAAACTAGGCACCAAAATAGCCGAGTCTGAGATCTACGAGCCACCTTCTACAGCAAATCTTCGCATAAACGAGATTTTTATAAGTCAAGAAAATAGACGCCTCCGGTTTTCACACAGTCTATACTTCTATACCTTAATGATTTGAACTGGCGAATTTGTATAAAGACGACTTGAAGCACGAATGCCGGATCCAGTTAATAAGTCAATTGTCATAATAAGATGCTCTAATCACGAAACTAGTACCACTAATAGCCTAGGTACACAAATGTACACACCTCTCCTCATTTTTCGTGACCATTCTTTGAATGAGCACCCAGGCACTGCGTCTGTCTCATAAAGACGTGAATTTTGCAAACGCATTCTAGCGCAATAAAAAAACAGCTTGTAAGTGACTATACTTTTAGAAGATCGACTATACGACAAGTCCGTCAAAAAAAGTTCTGCGTTGCCCAATTTCTTCGAAAGATTGTTCAATCGTTAGTCGATTTATAGACCGAATTGCTGTTGAACCTGAGACACTCCATTGCTAGAAATGTTTGAGTTACAATAACAGTTCACTATTAGTATCGGTCACTTTATTGAAATCTACCACGAGTAGTCTATGATAAATGGTTTATGAAAATTTTTGCGGATGCGACACGTATAAAGATCTCGTAATTCAGTTCCGTAATAAAAAAATTAGGAATATTCGCAGCTGCTATTTCGCAGATATTGGAACAGTCAACAACAACATACCTGAACCTTTATTGACCAAAAAGAGTTCTATTGACACACCTCTTTCGACGCATCATCTCTTTTATTTCCCTCTGGAATTGTCATTAATTAAAAAGCACAACCATTACTAGTATTCAGATTTCAACTCTTTTCTTCGTAAAGAGGAGCCTTTTTAGATTCTAGATTGCGTCAGAGTAAATTAATTATCAGAAAACAAAATTGCCCAGAACGGTCAAGGAGCTATCGTTTTATTTATGAAATGATTAACTAAAATTACAAGTCTTCAAAGACGCGTTATATATCAAGACGAGGGTAGTATACTACACAAGGGAGGCGTTTCAGCGCCGGTAGATAGTTCTACGATTCTGCATCCCTTATCGTGTGGCGTAGATGACACGCTAAATCTTCATACAGTGACAAAGTGAATCTAATTGCTTCTAAATAGCATGTACATCCGTCAGGAGCGTTTGGCAAGCCCCATATTGAGTCAAAGTGGGATCGGCGTTGCTCATACCGATTTCTCAAGCACTTCCTTATAATCCCGAATACTTAAGTTTCAATGTAAATCTTTTTAATTAGAAGGCCCTAGAAGTACATGGATATATTCATAGAGAAAGCTCCAAGCGCTTTAACGAGTCCATTCGAACACTCATATTTTCGAATAAATTCGAAGAGACAATAAATAGAGCAATAGCTAAGAATTCAGCAAATCACCATCTTCTGTTAGGTGATGACTAGTCTTGCGACCCGCACCGTACACCTACAGTGTAACGCTCTATGTCAGTAGTGCTACACACTCCAAATTCAAACACCAAATAATACGGTAAGCTCAGCCTAACGAATGATGTGACTTATGGCTCGCTCTCCATGTCTCGCGATGGTCGCCGTTTGACCGACTGGCTCACTCACCAGCAGAGTGCTATTTTTTGGATACCGTGTGAGAGCTCGCTATCTCTGTCTGCGAGTTCGTGTCAAATCTTTGCTCAACAATTCTTTCCCACGCTGAGAGCCCGAGTGTAGGAGGGAAATCTTTCATACTGATTCAGCACAGTCGCCGAGAAAAGAATAATGTTGCGCTCAGGTAAATTCGCATGCCTAGGCGCCGACGACGCAATATGGATCGCTGCAAATCGAGTAATGCAACGCCACCAAACGGCTGAGTACAGACAATTTGGCGCAGATCCTCTCCCGCCCGTCTGCCACGACGTGCACCCGAGAATTCACTGTTGAAGAGCAGCTTGTGCACACTACTGATAGACTCGCATCATGCGGAATCTTAGCGAGCAAAAAGCAATTTGCGTCGAAATATGTCTGTGGGGACCCTCTCATTAGTTTGGTCGAGTCTCTCTACTATTTTGCTGAGCCAATTCCTTAAACAGCGTGTCCTTATCCTTAAAGTTCTTGAACTGCCTGCTCTAAATAGGTAAACTCAGAGCTTTTGAATAGGATAACTAATCTGGATAATCACACCAAATATTAAGAATAAAATAAACACGAACATAGTATCCTTACTCCATAATATTTTCCTGGATGAACCAAGTAGTGTGGGACAGTCACACTTACATCCCTCAAAATCAGCTCAGTCCACAACGCCTTGATATCATATCTGAACAGCACATCTGAGTGGCAAAAATGATAAAAACGAGAGGATTTCAACAATTATATCAAAAGTCGAACTGCAATCTGCGCAGATTTCATCTTAGCTAATGATTATTGTGAATTTTAGACTACCCATTTTCTTTGACGAATTGCATTGTCACAGCACTTCTTTCAGTTACAATAGCGTCTGAGCGCATAAAGCACCAACAGTCCTTATAAACCTTTCTCGATCATCGATTCCCTTCCCCTTCATACGTTTTAGCCGAATTGCTCAGCGCGACGATATTATGCTTCACCCAGATCGCCTGAAAGACCATTCCTTGTTAGATATTCAGTGGAGAGCTTATCAGTGATTAAATCAATGTATTTCAGGCCTGAAGAAGGTGTTAAACACCGAAATATAGCAGAAGATTTCAAAGGAGTTCTTTTTGAAACTTTTCGTGTTTTTTGGAATTTTGGAGTTTTTCGAATTTTTGTGAACTTTTGGGACTCTTTTGAAATAAATTTTGGTGCCTCTTTGTGTTTATAACATTTAGGTCCTGATGAGGCTCCGGGACAGCACAATACTGAGAAATCTCCTTTAAGTTTTGCGAAAGTGGAGTTTTGGCAGATTGGCAGACTTACTGGGTTGGTATTCGTTTGTGTGTAAGTGCAGTGTTGGTGACCACTGTCCTTCCGTGCCAACCATCCGCTCCCGTTTCACGCAGCTTCCACCCTTGCCATCCATCAGTTTTGAGTATTTGCTTATCGGCGAATTAACTCTGTTTATTTAATGATATTCGTCACTCACTATTGATATCCGATGATAAGTCATAAATCATGTCGCATTTAGATGCCACCATTTAAAATAGGAGAGGATGCAAGGCGCATCCAGAAGGCATTAATCGGCACTAAATCTTTACCATTTGGCTTCAACAAGAAAATTTGAAGCTTTGATTTCGCACCGATGGGGGCAGGCAAATTGAAACGACTGAAACTGTTTTCCTTAAATGTGAGATGTGGATCACTTGATAGATGGAGTTTTCAGAAGCGAAATAATACAGTGATAAGTATGAAAATGAATTCTCAATGATGTTGCAAAATAGTACGATCATAGTGAGGCGAGGAATGCTAAAGAATTTGATTCCATCTGTTGTAATTTGAGAGAAACGAGGGACGACTTCGATGAATCCCATCAGGCTAATTCGAGCGATTACGCTCTGTTTTGTGCTAGCTCGGCACAATTCCTTCATTTCTCGCTTATTAGTTCATTTTCATACAATTTGTCATAATGGTCGGTCCACTGCTGTCTCAGTGTTGCCCACCCAAAAATCACCACAGATAAGATCGCATGAATGTGCCGAAATTCAGTATGAAAGAATTCCACTGCTATTCGGAACACATCCTTTGTCACTACGTGCGCTCAATAAGATTATGGCGCCTCTGGATTTTTCAGCAAGGCCACGAGATTTTTTGCTTCATATTTTTTCTATAAATTACTCGAACCGTGGCCGAACATGTAGCGGCAGGCTCCATTTCCAGCCCTGCCCCAAGCCACTCAGGCTCTCTGCCACGCAGTGGGGTCCATTGGTAGCACACTCTCTTCCCTGAACTCTACGTTTCCGGTCCCCGCTATCGAAGATTGGGCCGGATGCGCATATCAAAGGTAAGGCCTAGTTCAGCCTCACTGAAGTAGTTGTTCCCGTGAAGGGACGTATAGTCCGCCATTGCAGAGGTCACACTTCCTTCGCACATTGAAACACGTCACGAAGACGCTAGACGCTAGGACTATGATCAGATCCCAACAAAACTGTCAGGATCTTCTCAGTGTTCGACATCTCATCCGCGACGCTATGTTGGTCTGCTTGCTGTTTCTACTCGGACTTCTCTTACCTCTCCGCGACTTATATCTCTCATCTCCGCGCCTTCCTCTTACAAGATTATAAGTTTAGGAACAAGGAAAAGGATGTATACCGTAACCCACATTAGCGCCAGGGCGCGGTCGCAGTCCTCCGGCAAGCGATGCCGTTGTTAGGTTGCGAGCGAATACGATCAACGACGCTACACCGGCGTGCAGCGTTCCAAAAATGGAGCAGCGTCGCAGCGTTCGCCTTCGCCGCTTACGCGGCGCGCTCCGCGCGCGAGCACGGGAGGTAATCCCCTACGTGCCGCCTCATCCTACGTGAGGCCAAACCGTTGTGCGTGCTATCCTCCGCGTTCTTGATCAACTGCGCTTAGTATAGTTGGCGAGTTGCTCGACGCATTCTCTCTTCGTTGAGAGAACGCAGAGAAAACGATAAGTGGGTGCCGAGCACACATGGAAAATCGATGACACGTGACATTGCGCGCCCCAGTGCAACGTCGAGAGGGTTACGGTATACAGCCTATGTTCCTGAACTTATAATCTTCTCTTCCTCTTAGGCCGATGTCACACTTTGCGAATAGAGCGACTCACTGGGGCACGCGGTCGCGTCGCGCACAGCAGGTTGGGCCATTCGCTATACGCGACGCAACCGCAGACGCTGGAGAATTGCTAGTAGTAGTAGTCGATCTGACATCGGCCTTAGAGTTCCTGTAGCTAAGAGCAAAAAGGCTTGTACTTGCTGTGTTTTTTCACAATTTTTTCTTTTCTCCGCTTGCAGCTTACCCCATCCTTGATTTCATATTTCAATAGGATCAGTCATCAAGCAATCCTGATCCTTGTCTTTGATGTCGCTGGTACTCGGAAGGAGAGCTTGTTCTTTTTTTTCGTCAGTGTTTATTCCGCTTATTCCGTTTTGTGGCAGGATCAGTTGTATTCGATGCATAAAGAATCCAGAAACAGATTCCTCACTTCTAAGGCTGCTACCCCTATCATTTATTTTCTCAAAAAATTGACTGGTGGGCAGAGTAAAGACAGAGTAAAAATGCATACTAAATGACTTAGCTTTAATCAATCTATTTGGGATGCGTAGTGCATATTTCAGCCAAACCATTAATTTAGAAGCGTCATTCATCTTCAGGTCA